AGTGAGTGGGGCGCGGGGCCGGGACCGGGCCTGTATCACGGATTCCAGGGCGAGCACGGCTCAGGTGAGCCCAGTTGGGTCCCCACTGCTCAGCTCCAGGAGGATGGCACCCAGAGGCTTCAGAGCCGGCCAGCCACAGGCGGCTGACCGATTTGATCCCGTCTGTGAGGCTGGGTCTCCGAGAAAGGGCGCCTGGACCCGAGGGCTACAGGAGCATGGCTGCGTTGACCTCTTGGGGTTTAGACCCAGAGGGCCAGCTGGAAGCTAAGTCACGTGGAGCTTGTCTGGGTAGGACCCAAGCAAACAGGGACTTGGAACTCGCAAAACCGAGAACAAATGAAATCGGAAAACTTCTCCCGCACCAGGTCAGAACCCCATCACCCGGCAGACCTGCGTCCGCTGCGGGCTCTGCAGCGGGGACTGCGACTTCATTTAAAGTAGTTCATTCATTCATTCGGCAAGCATTTGTGGAACTTTAAGCGTGCCAGGTACGGAGTGTTACCCGGGGAAGTGTGGATGGCAGTGTTAGTCCCTGCGAGGGTGGCTGGGCGAGGAGGCTCAAAGCTGGCAGATGGAGGGAGCCACCCGCGGACCATAGGTCTGCTTGGTGACTTCTGTCTGGCGGGACCCTGAGAGCCTGTCTCCTTACACAGTAGGATGGTCTGCACAGAGCGGGGCCGTGGTGACCCGCGCCTCTCCCCACTTTCTGAAAGTTCTGAGCGGCCCCACCCCTTCTGAATTGGCTCTCTTCGAAGTGTTACTTCTTTACATTTAATAGCAGAGACACTCTCAAAGAAGTGAATTTATTTGGAACCATGCAAGTGATTACAACCTAGGATATGTGTACTCTAAAGAGACTGAGACAAGTTAACTTTTTCTTTTTTAAAGATTTATTTATTATGTATACAGTGTTCTGTGCCTGCATGTGTGCCTGAAGGCCAGTAGAGGGCACCAGACCTCATTACAGATGATTGTGAGCCACCATATGATTGCTTAGAACTGAACTCAACCTCTGGAAGTTCAGTCAGTGCTCTTAACCGCTAAGTCATCTCTGCAGACAAGTTAAAAATTTTAAGGCAAATAGAAGTGCATATAGTTTGTTTTGAAACAAAAAAGTCATTGGTTACAGAGGCTTGCTGCACACTATTGTGTTGTTTACTAGGAGAGAGGTCTTCACAGAAGTGATTCTGATTGCAGAATTGTGGTTTAGACAGTTGCCAACTCTTCACCTAGGACTGTCTGTTACTGGAAAGATGTTCATAGAAGTAGGCTTAATACAGAGCTGTGGGCTTGACAGTTTTTATGATAGCCTAAGGCGTATCTAGTATCTCATGACCAATCTAGTATTTGATCATGAGAACTGTGAGAAAGTATGAATAACTTGCTTTGCTGGCCCAGTCCTAAGAAGAAAGTAAAGTGCCAGTTCAGTTGACTGTGGGTTAAACTGTACACTATACAAAGAAAAATGTTGGCTGGGTGGTGGTGGCACATGCCTTTAATCCCAGCACTCAGGAGGCAGAGTCTTTCGGACCTCTGTGAATTCAAGGCCAGCTTGGTCTACAGAGCAAGTTCCAGGACAGCTAGGGCTACACAGAGAAACCCTGTCTTAAAAAATAAAACAAACATACAAGAAAAAAGGAAGGGAGGAAGGAAGAGAGAGAGAGAGAGAGAGAGAGAGAGAGAGAGAGAGAAGATGATAAGGCAGCTAGGATTGTTGTACACCTGAAATTCTACCATTTGGAGAGCTGAAGCAGAAGGAATACCACAAGTTTGAGACAACCTTGCTCTACCAACAATCATGGACTACAGAGCTAGATACCATCTCAAAAAAAAAACCAGAAAACAAAACAAAGCCAGGCACGGTGGTTCGTACCTGTAATCCTAGAGCCTGGGAAGCAAAGATTGGGGAGATCAGTAGTTCAGGGGTAACCTCAGCTATATAGTCAGTTGAAGACTAGCCTGTGCTACTTGAGACTCCTCCCCTAAGGAAAAAAAATACGTTAAACTAAACTTGTAATATATCAAAAAACAATATATAGGTAAAAGTTGTTTATTTGTTTCAAAATTTTGAAGCAATATATTTATTAATTGATGGAAATGTAAATTTTCATTTACATTTAAATTTGAATCTGAATCAGGTTTGCCCATAAATCAGAACTGTAGCTTTCTTATAGTATCAGTGATTGAAGGTTTCAAGCCTGTTAAGCAAGCACTCTGTCTTAGTTACATCTCAAACCCAGAACTACCCTTTTTAACTGGAAAAAGTTCATGTAGATATTCAAATTTTCTTAGAAATGTTTGAGAAATAAGCCAGGCAGTGTCATACATCTTTTATCCCGTTATTTGGGAGGCAGAGGGCAGGCAGATCTCTTGAGTTCAAGGCCAGCCTGGTCTACAGAGTTCCAAGATGACCTGGGCTATACAAAAAAACCCTGTCTCCTGTGGGGGCGGGAGGGGGCGCAAGCGCGCACACACACACACACACACACACACAAATTTGAGAAATAAATAGTGTCCAATTAGAAGCACTAGTTATTGTTGTTTGTACACTGTTACAAAGAGTCAGTGTGTAGTCAGGCGGTGGTGGCACACGCCTTTAATCCCTGCACTTGGGAGGCAGAGGCAGGCGGATCTCTGTGAGTGGTGAACCTGCTAAATCTTGGACATTATGCCTGAAGTTGAAACTTAACCCTCGTCTTCACTAGCTATATGGGTTTCCATGTGTCCCTGGAGAGCTTAGATGTTACTACAGTGCTATGTAGCATTCCTTACTCTGCTTTCCAATACAGCAGTTACTTACATCAGTCCCCGTGCTCCAGATGGGAGCACTTGCCCTAGAAGGAGTCTTCATTTAGAGATGCTCTCGGCGCTGCATTTCTGCTTTGAATTCCAGGTTGTTTTCTTAATCTCCTATTGTATTTTTAAAAGGACAAATTCAAGGATTTTCTCTTCAGTCTTTGATTTTACTTGGTGTTCACATGAGTGGTTAGAAAGTTCATCTGCTGCCTGAATAAAAGTAAAAGTATTTTGAAGTCATTTTAAATTTTACTTCTAGATGCTGTCTGGCACTCATGGGTGTAAGCAAGTTAGATATTCTATACCGGAGACTTCTCCTCACAAAACTCTTCATCAGAGGATGGGGAAGGCCAGAAGATCTCAAGAGGTAGTGTGTATGTCTGTGTGTCTGTATGTGTGTGCATTTCATGAATGCTTGACTGTCTTTTTTGTGTGTATGAGTTCTTGCCTACACACATGTGTGTGTATCATGTATGTGTCTTGTGCTTTCGGAGGTCAGAAGAGATCACCAGGTACCCTGGAAATGGAGTTAAAAATGATTGTAAGTCACCACATGGGGGCTGGGAACCAAACCTGAGCCTTCTACAAGAGCAACAAGTGCTCTTAATTACTGAACCATCTCTCCAGTCCATAAATAACTCTCCAGTTATTTTGAATTTATTGTTTTGATACACAGTTAAATTTTTGTTTCAGTTGTAAAATATTTTCGCTTCAAATTTAGATTGACTTATTGGGGATATTAAATATTGATTTTATGCTGGGCGGTGGTGGCACACACCTTTAATCCCAGCACTCGGGAGGCAGAGGCAGGCAGATCCCTGTGAGTTCGAGGCCAACCTGGTCTACTACAAGAGCTAGTTCCAGGACAAGCTCCAAAGCTACAGAGAAACCCTGTCTTGAAAAACAAAACAAAACAAAAATTTGATTTTATAAAAAGTTTTCCTTTCATCCTCTTAGTTATTTCTGTACATTTTAGCTTATAGCATCATGCCTTGGGTGCAAATTAGTTTTTTAGTGTCAGTAAAAACCAACTAGACTCGTTGAAGTTGTGTGTGGTTTCCAGGCATTGAATTTCTAGGATAACCTGAATTTTCGATGGCTGTGAAACTGGAATACGCTGACGCTCATGGAAAAACCTAAGAAAAAAAATTTTCATGATTGGCCCCTTTCATTTTGAATATTACATGTATTCATTACTTATGATCAATTTTCTTTCTCATATTTTTTTAAATATTTATTTATTTATTATGTGTACAATATTTTTTCTGTGTGTATGCCTACAGGCCAGAAGAGGGCACCCAACCTCATTACAGATGGTTGTGAGCCATCATGTGGTTGCTGGGAATTGAACTCAGGACCTTTGGAAGAACAGTCAGTGCTCTTAATGGCTGAGCCATCTCTCCAGCCCCCTTTCTCATATTTTTTTAAGAAAAGTTTTCCAGTTTCAAAAAGAGAGAAGAGGTACCCTCTTCTATCAGTGATAAAAGTTGTAATGAACATTGCCTCTTAATTGATTTTGCTAATTTTAATCACTATTCATCACTCATAACAGTAAGTATAACA